GTCAGAATCTCAGGCGCCGTCACATCCTGAGGCACCTTACTGGCGGACGCTTTCCGACTCCTCCTGCGCTTCAGCGGCTCTTCGTCCTCATCATCATCAGGAAGATTAATAACAGTATTGGGTGGAGCTGCGGAGAAGAATCAGGGTTAGAGATCGCGAGTCAGTCGACTAAGAGCGGCGTTAAGAATACAGTACCTGGGTTCGAAGTTGCTGCGTCCTCCATCTCGTGGTCATCAGCCCGGGCCGAGGTTTCAGAAGTAGCAGCACTGCAACTCCAAAGGATCAGTCGACTAGCTTCAGCGTCGACCAGAGACAAAGTTCACACAAAATGAGAAGATTCAAACAACACGATTACCCTGATATGGTAGGGATGGACACCTTCATCTTCGGTAGGAGCTTGATCGTCTTCGACGGGGCCGCCCTAGGCTGCTTCGGCGCCTTTTCAGTCGGCACCGGAGAGGTGGTCCGAGGGCGCTTGGTCGACTGGGTCGCGGTCGCAACCCCCTTACCACGTTCGGTTGAAGGGTCGTGGACAAGCTTCGACCGCCTTTCCGAGCGCGGTGGTGCGACCTCCTCCTCCTCTTCCTCCTCGTCTTCAACGTCATCGTCATCGCCGTCGTCATCATCATCGTCGTCGTCATCCCCTGCAACGTCCGAGTCCCACTCCTCCTCTTCCTGGCTCTCACCCCCGCTCGCCTCACCCTCCTCAGTCGGAGTTTGTGCCCCATTGGGCATCGAGTACAGCTCGGTGAGAGCCTAGCAGATATCAAGACAAGGATCCGTCGACCAGTCGGCAGGATAAACAAGAATGAATGCGACAAAAATGCAGTGGAGAGCAGGGCAAATGTACCTTATTTGGTTCGCTGTTGTGGTCGAGTGGAGGAATCCTTCTGGCTCCGCGTGGGTTGTCCTTGTTTCCGGTAACGGCTACCATCCATCTTTCCAGAGTGACATCGTCGACTGCTTCTGGATGGACTCTAGTCTCGTCTTCGGTCCCACAGTACAACCACATGCAGTGGCTCCGGAACTGAAGGGGCTGGATGCGACGCCTGAGGAAGACCTCCAGGAGACCCATGCCCGTCACTCCCTCCCGAACCAACTGCACCACGCGCTCCATCAACATCTTCACATCAGCTTTCTCCTCCGGGATCAACTTCAGAGAGGAAGGCTTGTTCACTCGGTCCATGGTAAACTGTGGGAGTCCACTCGACTGTCCTGGCGTCGACTGGTCCCGGCAGTAGAACCAGGTCGACTGCCAGCCTCTGACTGACTCGGGAAAGGTCATGGGCGGGAAGGTGCTCTTATTCCTCACTTGGATCCCCAGACCCCCACACATTTGGACGACTCGGGTTCTCTCATCACCTGGGCTCGCCTTCTTCACGGTCTGAGAGCGACACGTGAATATATGTTTGAACAAACCCCAGTGCGGTCGACAGCCCAAGAAACCCTCACACATGGACACGAACGCAGCAAGATAGGCAATGGAGTTTGGGGTAAAATGGTGGAGCTGCGCTCCGAAGAAATTCAAGAAGCCACGGAAGAAAACACTCGGCGGCAAGGAAAACCCACGATCAACATGGGTGGCCAAGAGCACACACTCACCCTCTTCTGGCTGGGGCTGCCACTCCTTCCCCGGAAGCCTCGCAGCTCCATGAGGGATCAAGCCCTCGTTGGCCATGTCGAGGAGGTCATTCTCCGTGATGGTCGACTGGATCCAGTCTCCTTGGACCCAGCCCTTCGGCAGGCGGGATCTGGACGAGGACCCGCCGCGGCTGGTGGATCTCCCCTTCGCCTTCTCCGACGCCGACGCCTTCTTCGCACGTTCCAGCGCCGCCGTCTTCTCCTTGGCCATGGTTGCCGGCGAGATGCGCGTGGGGAAGCTGTGCGGGGGCGAGAGCGAGCGCACTGGACGGGGACGAAGGGAGCAGAGAGAGAGAATGACTGAGGCGCAGTACAGAAATCCTCGCCGGGCTCATTTATAAGGTCCCTTCCGAGTGGATGACAGGTGGGCCCGGCCGATCTAATCATATCAGGAACAGTTGCGCAGGCGGGATACGTGGCGAAGAAAGCGGCCCGGAGATCGAGGCGTCCGCGCCCGTCCCATCCGAACGCCGCGGTCCGCTCCGCTTCGCGCGCGTCCCCAAATTTCGCATCCCGCTAAATCCGCGAACGGCAGATCAGTCTGTCAGACGCGGTGTTTCCGGCGATCCGTCGCTCGGAGATCGTCGAAGCCTGAAAGATCACTCGACGCAAAAATACAATGGATCGAGTCGACTGAAGGCAAGTTGCTCCCTGTCGACGAAGAGATTCTTTGGTCCAGAACAGCGCACAACCAGAGCGCAAAGGTTAATCGGAAACGACATCAACTCCTTCTTCACTCGAAGCCTCAATCCATTCGGGGGCTAATGATGGGGTTATGTACCTAGGGTAGGGTCATGGACCTGATCCAAGTAACTTACCCCAGGACATCTTTAGAAGAGGTCGCCTTCTAGTCGACCAACGAGGACTCACTCGACTGGCCTGAAGGACTCGACCACGAAGACTCACTCGACCACCGGGAGGTCAAGAGGCACTCTGCACTGCAACGGCCTGTAATCAAGTAGACTTTATGATAGTAAAGGCACTTCATGTGGGGCGTTACCAGTAACGCCCCAGACTTAACTCACCTTAAAACCTCTCCTACGTGGGCTGGCTGGGGTCCTGGCGCACTCTATATAAGCCACCCCCCTCCACAGGCAGAAGGGTTCGGCACCTTGTAGCTCATATACTCATAATCCACTCGACCGCCTCCGGGCTCCAAGACGTAGGGTTATTACTTCCTCCGAGAAGGGCGTGAACTCGTACATCCTTTGTGTTTACAACCTCTCCATAGCTAGGACCTTGCCTCTCCATACCTACCCCCCACTCTACTGTCAGGCTTAGAACCACGACAATAATCTACAATGCTCAGACCACCAAACACATGCAAAACTAGTGAATGCACAAACAACTGCAGGAACACGTCTCTCCTCAGGATATTGTAAACATGTAAATCGTTGTTCAGTTTCTAACTCCCAAGTAAGATATATATCAGGAACATATCTACCCTCAAATGGTGGAATATTCAATTTTAGTTTAGGGAGATGGCCATGATCTCGTACCTGAGGGTGAGCCCTACCATTGCCATTATTTGCATGTGGACGACCTGGTGGTTGCTGTGCTGGTGGTGGCACGTAGTTCTGATTTTGATCGACCTCATCATCGTAATCGCCGGCAAAATCATCCTCCTCCGCATCAGCAGCAGGAGCCACAGAAGTATCAACAGCAGCACCAACAGTTTGGCCAGGTGCAAGAGGGAGACGGCTCGCTCGGTGGAGGGCTGTTTCACGATGTGTAGGTAGTCATTCTTGTTGTTGTAGAGGTGCGTTAGGTGTAGCCGGTGGTGGTGGTGGAAGACGCGCGAGAAATTCATTAAACCTGTTATCGAGCTTTGTTTTGAACGTCTTCTCCATGCCATCTATCTTCTCCATGGCCTCTTCAATCTGTTTAGCACATCTTGCACCTGTCCACTCATCATTTGCTGAAATTTATCATGCAACTCCTTATTCGTCATGTTCTCCCAGTCAGTCTCGTCGGCTTGTGATCCTGCCATGGTTAGCAACAATAGAAACACACAAGAATATGATCTTACAGAATACTAACAAGAGGTGGTGGTGGTGTCACAAATCCGTCAAGCCACTCTCAAATTCTTACCAGTTCTTACCCAGCAGCAGGCGGTGATCGCCAACCGTCGTAGTCAAAACTCTCAAAGCTTGGATAAAGCGATTACCAGGGAGAGTCAAACGCACGACGTAGATGTATGTGGAGCTGGGAAGGCTTATAATATGGTAGCAAAAAGGGTCAGCAATAATCAATTCAGAGATGCAAAGTTGAATAAACGCTCAACGACGGTACTGTGTTGGTCCTTGGCTAGACCGTGCTAGAGACGCGAGCCTAGAACACTAACAAAATCACGGCGCTGCACGTAAACAATGGAGGAGCACACTCTGAATTTTTTTCTCTTTTTTTCACTTTTTTTTGCACTTTTTTTCCTCTTTTTTTTTGCTCCGCAACAAATTTTTTTTGAAAAAGTCTACAAATGGTCTAAAAACTGCCTAGCCAGATTTTTTTTTTAAGTTTGGAACTATTTTTCTTCTGCGGGTAGCACAGAATCTCAGGAGTCCTATTCTCTCACGACTCGAGTATGGCGTGATCTAGAACTCGAAAACAAAGCAACAAATACTGGACACGGACTAGGACTGGTGGCGGAGATGAATCTGATGGAACTCGGACTGTGGTGGTATATCTGGACTCGGATTGGTGGTGGTATATGGCGATGGTATATCTGGACTCGGATTGGTGGTGGTATATGGCGATGGTATATGTGGACTCGGATTGGTCGTTGTATATGGCAGCAGCAATGTATATGGTGGGGTGGTGGTATGTTGTATATGGCAGCGGCAATGTATATGGTGGGGTGGTGGTATATGGTAATGATGATGACGATGGTGCGGCGGCGGCGTGACAACCTGTAAACAGAACTCGAAACTCTAAAAGACTAGACGCTAAGACGAGCAACTTGACACGACGATGCAACCGCAAATTCAACAAAGCAAATACAGAAAAGATTATGCAAAGGCTCAGATTGGTTCGGATAGGACGAACTAACCCTAATTTTTTTTTTTTGGCTTTTTCATAGACTATAGGTATGAAGAACAGACTCGATCTAATCATTTCATCACAAGTTTAAAGGGAAGAGCATTTCTTATGATGTCGATATCACAACCTTTGGAGCATGTGCACAAACAGTTATAGCAAAGAAGCTGATAAGTGATAAAGAGATCTTTTAACCCAGAGAACAAAAGAGTTAAGAGGTTGAGCCTCATTCGGATAAATATCTGGCAAACAAATAATTCAGGTACATTCATCATCCAGGACAAATCTGAAACTAAGGAAACATATCATTATCCCAATCAAGCTCCTCAGACAATGGCATTTGCTGCGCTAGCGATCCTAGGCCAGAGGTCAGCACACTCCTTACCAATGGGTCCTGTGATAGCAGATCCTGCATAACAGAGCAAATGACAAGTTAAAACCTGAGCAGCACAGTTCTAGCCTCTCAAGGTCGTATAGAATGCACAATGGTGGTCACAGCAATAAAGTACAGTCTTACCTTTCATCTCACCCTTAGGATTCACAATCACCCCAGCATTATCTGCAAACAATGTATCATTGCGGTTAAGTTGACAGCTTCTGTAATTTGAGAAAAACATAAATGAAATGGTAGGGGAATACACTTAATAATATGCTACATACATGACATGCACATAGATGTTGTACATCATGCAACTTGAGAAGATCTCACAGTATACATACCAATATGTGATTGGTTTCTCATAGTACTATGAACATCCAAAAGGAACTAAAAGCATAAAGAAGCTACAACTCTATCTGCTCCCCTGCTAGAGATAAATAATTTTGTGAGTAAACAAATTACATAACTGGAGTAAAGTAAGTACAACGTACAAACTACAAATTCTTATAAAGAGAACATAACTAACCAGCATACTGTTATTAGTGTTTATAAAAGACAACAGTAGAGCAACAAAGAACCAAGCAGAAGGAATCATGGTGTGAGATGCAACTCCCAGAGTTCCATTGCAACATAAGGCCATAGAATATGAGACCATGTTCCAGATGGAGGAATTCCGATGATGATGATTATATTCTTTGAATAGAAACACCTAGAAGGCTATTTTGTGGTGTTTACAAAGGAATACGCAAACATTAAAAGTTCGCTCCAGATATTGATGAAGGACCTCATTGCCCATCGTCACCAAACTACCTTGATGCAGCAACGAAAGCTACATGGCTCAATCAAATAATGCTAGACTTCGACATGGAGGAATTTTGACAACAGCATACTTCAAAAACGTCGGGCACTATAATTATACTACTCCTTAATTCCATACAGAACAGTGACAACGGCATAAAAGAAATGAGCAGTATGAAGGCGTTCTAAGACAATTTCCTTGGAAATTTGAGAGACTCGACAACCTTTCATCGTTTCTGGTGTTTCTTCACGGCGTTGTAATGTTTACCGTGGATCTAAGGGAGTCATGCGGAATCACAAGCATCCAGATCTTCTAATCAGAACTAACACAGGATCTCATAAAACAACACTGGGAATCATCGTTACCTTCGAAGTACATGAAGACACCGTCCTTTCGGCGCCATGGCTTGCGCTGGCGCACGATGACCGCCGGCATGACCTTCTTCCTGAGGTCGGGCTTCCCCTTCTTGACGGTGGCCATGACCATGTCGCCGACGCAGGCCGACGGCAGGCGGTTGAGCCTTCCCTTGATGCCCTTCACGGAGATGATGTACAGGTTCTTGGCGCCCGTGTTGTCGGCGCAGTTCACCGTCGCTGCCACCGGCAGACCCAGCGACATCCTGAACTTGTTCCCCGCCGATCCTCCCCTCCCTGCAAAATTTCCCACCAAGTGTGTGTTAGGCTAGATTAACGAAATACACGAACGGAGGCAGGAGCCTCCGAAGAGGGCGGAGAGAGGCGGCTACACGCACCGCGCTTCGACATGGCGGCGTCCCCTGCGGCGCTTGCTCCGAGCGGCGACGCGAAGAGTAAGTGTATCGATTAGGGTTTCGCGGCTTGGGTTGCTTATATTGAGTGAGGTAGGTGGGCCTCGTCCTTGGGTTCTAGGGAGCGAGTTAGGGCCACTCGCTAGTTGCTCTTCTGGGCCGAGTTTTCTCATGAGAGAACAATGGGCCGGAAAACCTCCACACACAACCTTTTATGCAGGGCAGGTGGACGAGACTATGAGTATTCACTTAGGCCTCTTTTGGTTCATAGGATAGGATTATTATAGGAATAGGAATCTTGTAGGAAATGAGATGACATGTATCTTAAATCCTATGAGTAGGAATAGGAAACAAGATGTCATTTGGTTGACACCAAAGAAATTTTTCCATTAAGTCTAGGCTCTTTTTTATTTTCCTATGAAATGTGAAGGATAGGAACCAATCCTATGTAGGAATAGAAACCATTCCTATGAACCAAAGGGCTCTAAAGGAAAAAATCCTATAAGAATTCTATCCTCTAGAATTCCTATAAAATTTCTCTAAACCAAAGAAGGCCTTAGTGTTCCTCAAAAAAAGAGTATTCACTTAGTGATTTCGAGGAGCAACTAATTCATGAGCGCTCGTTCGAGAGCCTCCTCAAAGCTCAATTGGAATGGGCTGAGCATGTATCACTTGGCGCGCTCTCAGTCACCGCCATATGTCGCGCTCTGCTTGCTTTCTCCGGATTTTTAAATATTTTTTCACACGTGTTTTCTGCTTTTTAGATGGGTTTTTTTGTTTTCCACGGGTCTTTCTTAGCTTTTCGAAAAAGAAAATCGAAAAAAAATTACGTGAAAAACTCTTTGTTGCTTCCACAAGAGGCACGGTTTTGCTTTCATGAGAGGCACGGTTTTTTGCTTCCGCGAGACACACGGCCAAGCCTCTTGGAAACGAAAAAAGTATATTTTTTTGCTTCCGTGAGAGGCACGGTTGTGCCTCTCAGAAACAAAAAAAGAAACTATGTTTTTTTCCTTTCATGAGAGGCACAGTTTTGCTTTCGCGAGAGGCATGAATTTGCTTTCGCCGGATGCACGACCGTGCCTTTTGGAAACGAAAACATAATTTCCTTCCGCGAGAAGTACGATTTTGATTCCGCGAGACGCACGAATTTGCTTCCGCAAGAGGCACGACCGTGTCTCTCAGAAACGGCTTTCGGAAAGGGGGAAAACATGTTCCTTGTGTGTTTTTTCGTTCAGCTTTTTTCATGAAAAAAGTTCGTCACAACATATCAACATGAGATCTAATTTTGAAGATCTCGATGCGAGGAATCCAATAGTGAAAGTGGTTCGAGATATGGAAAATTTTATGACTTCAATCGAATCGGATTCTACTTGCACCTTATTACTTCCAAAAGAATTTGCAAGATATAGTCCATCCCTTATGGCTGAAGCTTCCAGTGTTGTTGCATTTGCTGCATATGAGTAATAGACGCACTTGCCTGCAATGAGTGAGCCATTCACATCTCTAACGATAGCAGTCGCCGCTCCTGTGCCCGAATCAACGTACAAAGATGCATCAACATTGAGCTTCACATAGCCAAGATTTGATTTGGACCATTTAGGGGTACTACTTTGGATGTTTTGTCGGTTCAGATTTGCATTTTGCAGCTATACCAAAACTGAAACCAGCTAACGGCCAAACAGTGGCACCCTCTCTGAATGCGTAGTTTGCCTCCTCAACCACCAAAGACACGAGCAGCCTACTACAACTATGACTTGAACCTCCACTAATTATGTACCATGCATCAAGGCAGAAGGAGATCTGAAAATATGTTCAAGGACACTCGATCCTGAAAGATCAATAACTAAAACTTCTTGAATTAGGTTCTCAAGTCCTAGTTTATCCCAAAGATAAACATCCCTGTCACAAGTGAACATGAGGTGTCTGACATCTTCGGCTCTTTTGTTGCAAATGGGACAATGACCTTCGTAGCCAATATGATGATTAATTAGGATGCTTTTTAATCGAAGGATGTCGTGAAGAGCCCTCCAACATAAAAATCTGAACTTCCCTAGGAATCTTCAATTCCCACACCTCTTCCAAATTGGATTATAGTAGATGGTCTAGGAGCAGCCACAAATATTGATCTACCTCCGAATTGGTGGTTCCATTCTAAATGGTAGGTTGTGCAGATGGAGAAGATTCCCTTCATGTTGAATTACATGCAATGAAATCATCAAAGGCACCTATGATTAGTGGGTTTTGCATAATCCTTCGTGCATCAACAAAACCAAAGGTAGTAGTAACCAACTCCTCATCCCATCCGACAGTAATGACGTTAATGAGTTCACTAACCTTTGTTAATAGTTGATGACCTCGTTGAGTGATAATAATCCTGCTAGGACTAGGTGGGACCCGAGGGTCCGTCAAAAACATTAACACTATCATCATTTCCAATTTGCCAAATGTAGCCTCATTTGAATGTTTGGATGCCCGCAACAAGGCTTTGCCACGCGAAGGACGGTCCATTCTTTGGTCCTTCTTTGAGAATCTTGGGGTAGTACCTTGTTTTCAAGATCTAGGCACAAATAGAATCTGGGTATTCATAAGTTGCCAAACTTGTTTTGCAAGCATCGTCGGGTTGAAACTATGCAGATCATTGTCAGTGCTAAAACCCACGAATCTCGGGTAGGGGGTCCCGGGTTGTAAATCTATGAACAATGGTAACATGGTAGGAAGGGAGATGGTGTTTACCCAGGTTCGGGCCCTCTCGAATAGGTAAAACCCTACATCTTGCTTTGTATCTCGAGATCGTATGATTGTGTTCTAAACCCTAAGACCGGTAATCGTGACTCTAAAGAATAAACCCCTCAGCTTATATATGCACTGAGGAGACCTAGGTTACACATATGGTCGATTGTCAATGCACCGACTATAGAGCAATCCTTGAATTTCACGCCAACTCTTCGGAGGTTTCCATATTGATCACGTTGAGGTTCATAGCTTCGGTAGCCCTTCCTTTTAGTGATCGGCGGGCCATAAGCCCGGCCAATGGACCATGGGACGTACAATTTAGTACCCTTTAGTCATGGACACCGCTGGTAGCCCCTGTTGGGTTTCGTAGTAATTTCAAAAAATTTCCTACGTGCACACAGGATCATGTGATGCATAGCAACGAGGGGAGAGTGTTGTCTACGTACCCAACGCAGACCGACTGCGGAAGCGATGACACAACGTAGAGGAAGTAGTCATACGTCTTCACGATCCAACCGATCAAGCACCGAAACTACGGCACCTCCGAGTTCGAGCACACGTTCAGCTCGATGACGATCCCCGGACTCCGATCCAGCAAAGTGTCGGGGAAGAGTTCCGTCAGCACGACGGCATGGTGACGATCTTGATGAACTACAGCAGCAGGGCTTCGCCTAAACTCCGCTACAGTATTATCGAGGAATATGGTGGCAGGGGGCACCGCACACGGCTAAGGAATTGATCACGTGGATCAACTTGTGTCAACTTGTGTGTTTAGAGGTGCCCCTGCCTCCGTATATAAAGGAGGAGAGGAGGGGAGGCTGGCCGGCCATAGAGGGAGGCGCAGGAGAGTCCTACTCCCTCTGGGAGTAGGATTCCTCCCCCCAATCCTAGTCCAACTAGGATTCCTCGGAGGGGAAGGGAGAGAGGGGGGCCGGCCACCTTTCTCCTAGTCCTAATAGGACTAGGGGAGGGGGAAGAGGCGCAGCCACCTTGGGCTGCCCCTTTCTCCTTTCCACTAAGGCCCATGAAGGCCCATATGGCTCCCGGGGGGGTCCGGTAACCCTCCCGGTAACCCGGTAAAATCCCGATTTCACCCGGAACACTTCCGATGTCCAAACATAGGCTTCCAATATATCAATCTTTACGTCTCGACCATTTCGAGACTCCTCGTCATGTCCGTGATCACATCCGGGACTCCGAACAACCTTCGGTACATCAAAATGCATAAACTCATAATATAACTGTCATCGTAACCTTAAGCGTGCGGACCCTACGGGTTCGAGAACAATGTAGACATGACCGAGACACGTCTCTGGTCAATAACCAATAGCGGGACCTGGATGCCCATATTGGCTCCTACATATTCTACGAAGATCTTTATCGGTCAGACCGCATAACAACATACGTTGTTCCCTTTGTCATCGGTATGTTACTTGCCTGAGATTCGATCGTCGGTATCCAATACCTAGTTCAATCTCGTTACCGGCAAGTCTCTTTACTCGTTCCGTAATACATCATCTCACAACTAACATATTAGTTGTAATGCTTGCAAGGCTTATGTGATGTGTATTACCGAGAGGGCCCAGAGATACCTCTCCGACAATCGGAGTGACAAATCCTAATCTCGAAATACGCCAACCCAACATCGACCATTGGAGACACCTGTAGTACTCCTTTATAATCACCCAGTTACGTTGTGACGTTTGGTAGTATCCAAAGTGTTCCTCCGGTAAACGGGAGTTGCATAATCTCATAGTCATAGGAACATGTATAAGTCATGAAGAAAGCAATAGCAACATACTAAACGATCGGGTGCTAAGCTAATGGAATGGGTCATGTCAATCAGATCATTCTGCTAATGATGTGACCTCGTTAATCAAATAACAACTCATTGTTCATGGTTAGGAAACATAACCATCTTTGATTAACGAGCTAGTCAAGTAGAGGCATACTAGTGACACTTTGTTTGTCTATGTATTCACACATGTATTATGTTTCCGGTAAATACACTTCTAGCATGAATAATAAACATTTATCATGATTATAAGGAAATAAATAATAACTTTTATTATTGCCTCTAGGGCATATTTCCTTGAGTCTCCCACTTGCACTAGAGTCAATAATCTAGATTACACTGTAATGATTCTAACACCCATGGAGCCTTGGTGCTGATCATGTTTTGCTCGTGGAAGAGGCTTAGTCAATGGGTCTGCAACATTCAGATCCGTATGTATCTTGCAAATCTCTATGTCTCCCACCTGGACT